CTGCTTTCCACATGTGTGATGCTACATAGTTCACTTTACTTCACTGAGATTATCCTCATCTGTAAAATGGGAGATAGTGCTGCTTCCTGGTCATTAAGGGTTCCTTGCTGTTAAGGTTTAAATCAGATAGCATGTGTAAATCATGGCTCAGAGTTAGATGCTCATGGAGGGCTCGCCTCAGTGCAGCTGGTACTTATCCCTGACAGATTCAGATTCTGACTTTGACTGACACCAGAGTGAAATTATGGGTTTTTTGTTTGTTTTGTTTTGTTTTTGAGACTGGAATCTCACTATGTTGCCCAGGCTGACCTCAAACTCAGGGGCTCCAAGCAAATCTCCCAACTCAGCCTCTCAAGTAGCAGTGACTATAGATACGTGCCACCATGCCAGCCAAAATTTGTTTAAAGGCATAAGAATGTTATTAAATAAAAAAATACAAATAAGTAAATACAAAGCTGTTCTTTAGTTTGATAAAAGTACTACCCATTTTGGCCCTGAAGAGATCATAGGCCAAAGACAATGAGCCAAGTATATAGTAATAAATTTAGTCATACAAAAAGGACCAAGATTCAAAAACAAATTCTCTTCATAGCATTAATCTAGATCAGATCTTAAATATGCTAAGTCTGAAGAGTCTACAGCAAATTCAACAAATTAATTTGGAAGAACAGGCACTTTATTTAAACCTGAAAAATAGCTTAGAATTTGAGATCCTTGCTACATTAATTCTAAGTTAGGGCCAGTTCATCCTGAGTAAGTGAAACAGGCCAAGATGGAGGAATAGGATAAACAGAGAAAAGGATAAAAAAAAGAAAAAAGTGAAAATATAAATGCAAGCCACTACAAGAGAAGGTACCCTTTACAATGCATAAAAATTGAGAGTAAACTTTCAAGGACATTTTTTCTTATAGGTCTTAAAAGCTCTTGAATTTTAGACATTGTAATTAGAACAATTAAAACATAACAAAATTGTTCCTGAGCAAAATGACGGTGGGGAGAATGAAACTTTAAAGAAGCTAAACTTCTAGTCGTGGCTTATTTAAGATAAGCCTGTTCATTTAAGAAATATATTTCCATAGCTTACAGATCTTGTACCGCATTTCTAGTGTACTGCCCCTTAGGAATTATTCTGATAGTACATTTAAGTTTTCCAGATGTTCTGCCTCTCATTCTACCAGAATAAGGAGACCATGCTTAAAATGTAAAACGTGATAGCAATGTTAGCTAGCAATTGCTCAGAAGTAACTCTAACAAAAGAACACATATTAGACAGTATTGTATGAACATTGTTGGGAGATCAACTGCTTTTACAACAGTCTGCTTTATTTATATTACAGGTTAGTTACAAAAGACCTCTTAGAGGCTCCACATGTACTCACGCTGCAAGGATAAACAGAATTCACTTTTGAAGGAAATGTTTGAATTTTGTGTGTGAAAACAGTGTGAGGAGGAATGGAAATTATTTGATATTGAGGTGACCATACAGAAAAGAGGTTTGATAATTACTATTACTAACTAATTATTAACAGTTATTTAGCTCATCAGAGGTGAAAAGAAACAGAATCCTGATCTCCTTTTTCTCCTGACTAAAAATCTTGAAAATTTCTACTTCCATTTTTACTGATTGCCACCAATATTTGATCTAATAAGACTTCCTAGTCAAATGGAAAACACATACACACACACACGTGTATATATATATATATAAATATATACTTATTTATATACCTCCCAGTGATACTCATGACACTTTTAAGACAACCAATTGTAATAATCAAGTTTTTGTGAGAATCAATGAAAAATCCATTTCTCAGACCTAGTTATCACACGAATGGTCATTTGTTTCATGGCTATTTTCATTATTATCTGAATTCCACTTTATTTAAACTCTGTCTACAGAGTCAGGAAATGAACAGTTTGTCCCTAGGTAGCTCTCCATCTATGTCAAGACAGAAGAAAAATGACTTTCCAGAAAATCAGCTCCAGCTTCATTCTGATGTCAAGTATTACTATTGTAATTTTGAAGGAACCAGTTTACTCCTGTGTTTTTCTTTTGGTAGCATAGAGTAGATACATGAAAAATAATTTCTTTTTGACCGAATCAGCTGCTGTTTCATTAACCTAGTTTTGTCTCAATATTTTCTGCAACTTTAGATCTTTTAAAACTTTGCATTACAGCTCCATAAATCACCTCCTATTCTTTAAGTTTCTCCAAATATGATGGTTTTATAGTTATTTAAATCATATTTTCTTTCAGTTCTGTTCCTGGTGCTCTTTTAAATGATCAGCAAAGATGAATGGAGGTCATAGAATTTTTAGAAGCTTCTTTGAGAATTAAACAATTTTGTGAGTTCCCACAAACAAAAAGATAGTGATCTTTCTTTTCTTTTTTCAGTTCTAGGGATTGAACTCAGGGCATTATGCTTGCTAGGCAAATGCTCTATCACTTTAGTCATGCCCCTAGTCCTTTTCCTGTTAACTTTTGTTTTTCAGATAGTGTCTTGAGGCTGGCCTTGGACCACAATCTTCCTACCCCTGCCTCCTGAGTAGTTGGGATTACAGATGTATACCCCTATGCTTGGGTCCAATCTGTTATCTTTCCTTAAAATATTTATTTTGTTGTAGAGTAATTATTCTCAGTCACATAGAATTTACCATATGAAAATAAATATATTGTATGCAGGTAAATACCTATACTGCATGAAGAGGACATTTATTTCTTTTTCACATTTATGAAGGTGACAGATGAGCACATGGTCCAGTATTATATTATTTATTAAAACAGAAGCACCTGTTGGCACATGGTATAGCTATATGGTTTTAGGAAGAACAAGAATAAGAGAACATGGCATGTGAATAAGAGTGAATGGCATGTGAATGGGAGTGATGTAACAGAGGATACAAAATCACAGCATTAAATTTAGACTTTGGTATAAAGTCTTGGCTACATTTCTCAAGACACTGTTTTCTAGGGAATAACCCAAAATAACAAAGTGAAGCAATTGGTAATTTTTTTTTTCACTCTCCCAAGTCCAAAATGAATTGTGTACCATGTAGGATAGTAATTAGAAACAAAGCCAAAAACTACCACTAGGTATTTGGTTCCTAAAGAATCTAGTTCTGTTATGGCATTGATTCAAAGTACCTGGATATGCAGATACAACATCCCAGCTGTGCCCAGTGAAAAGCACTGTCCCACAGACAAATGCCATGTAGGGATTTTTATTTCCGTTCGTTTTCCAGACACATCCCAAAAGGACATGAGTCAGTGATTGACTGAGTTTGTCTACAAAGAGAATCACAAGTAGATTTTACCAGAGTAATTTTCTTCTGTAGGTTTCTGACGCTACCGCGTTAGTGTGATTTCCCTACAGAGGGCCCAGTCAAAGGTTGCAGAAGTTGTTTGTGCTTTACCCTCTCCAAATGACTTGCAAATTTATTCAAACGCAATATGAGGGGATGCTTTATTTGCTGAAATAACTGTCTGCAGTGTCCTGCATTAAGGGGTGAGGTACATCAAGCAGAAACACGGACAGAAATACATTGGTTTAGAAACCCATAAATCCTTATTTGAATCTGCCAACCTGAAAGCTATGTAGAGCCTGAATAAACTATTTTTCCTAAATGCTACATCTGATTAAGCCATACCACTAAATGACAGCTGAACTTTAACATTAATATGATATTATTTAAATAACCACATGATTTTTTTACACTAAAAAATGATGAATGATTTCTGGACAGCTCAATTGACATAAAGCAGGAGTACTCTTTAATGAGATTTGACAAAATGGAGACATATGCAGAATATTCGTTACAGCTCACATCGCAGGAGCCCTCCCATGGAAGCAACAGAGGATTTTTTTCCTTCTTTCGTTCTTTTTTATTGTCTTTAGGCACTGAAGCATTCCTTTCAATTGCCAGTGCTTTTCTCTTTAGATTTTGAGTTTTTCTTAGGCCATTCACATATTACTCTTAAACAGAGATTTTGGTGGTTTATGGTTCTGAGCTGGAACGTGTCTCCAGGAAAAGGAGGGGCAATGTAGAGACTTTGTTGCCAGTGTCCTGAGAACTTTAGGCTCATTACTGACAGACACTTATAGGCATCAGCTCTGAAGATGGAACAATTATACATATACTTGTTTCTTATGCAATATATCGGACAGATGATAATTACTGTATATGGACAGATGATCAGAGAAGGCTGTGGCCATTTTTATAACTATATAGAAGGCTTTCTTTTTTAAAATTTCAATTAAGCTATTCTAGGGGTCATTCTCAATGTTCCTCATTCACTTTCCACCCATGTTTCCAAAATGCCATGATGATGCCAGATGATCTAATTTGGTAGATTCTGAGTGTAAAATAATTCTGGGTTGAATATACATAGTCTATACTATATATAGACTCTTACCTGCCCTTATTCATTTATCTTTTTATATTCTCCTGAATATTTTTCATCAATCAAAGTTTAGACATACATATAAAACATAAAGATTTGTTTGCTGGCACATAGGCATTCAGATCTTGATGTTTTATAAATTGTCTTTAAGTATATACATTAAGTGAAAATGTTTTCCCGAACAGCATTCCTTACAGCAGTGAAAACACAGTAATAGAGAGCAAAGCTGATACCAAGTGTGCTGGGATGACAGCAAGCCCGCACTCCCCCTATCAAAACAGAGTCAGTCAGTCTGCTCCTGCCACAGGCCTTCCTCAGGCTATGAAAAAATGCTTCTTGTCTAACCCTAATTTTTTCCATTGCTTTAGGTAATCCCCCTAGCTCGAGCCTTCTCTCTAATCTGAGCTACTCAGTATGCGTCTCTGTCTAAACAAGAGTCAAGTCAGTGCTCTGTTATTTCAAAAGGGCCTTGACACAGGGTATGAAGAGCAGAAGCGTGCAAGTCTGTAAAATGCCCAATTGCAATTGGATGAAAAAACAGTTAAAAAGAGAGGGAGAGAAAGAGGAAGAAGATGATCAGTCCCTACCTTGCTCTTACCTTCGTAACATCCCTGTCAGAATCCTTGAGCTTTTCCCCAAGTTTGCATCTGTTTCCCGAAGCTAGGAGGAGAAAAGCAGCATTAAAACAAACCAGAACAAACTAGACTTCATGCAATTAGATTATTTCAAAAGTGCACGGCAAGTTACAACTTTATTTCATATCAGAAAAGCCAAACAGTAAAAAAAATGCTTATGCACAGAAGCACAAATGTATTTATATCTGACATACAAATTCTGAAAATTCATAGATTCAGAAAATGAGTAGGAGAGGTAATCTCAGGAGCTTAAAAATGGATACTTGAACTGGATATAAAAGCAAAAGCCTGATGAACTGACAGAGTTTAACATTCATGTGTCAATTAATCTCTAATGTATGGATGTGCAAAGTCCTAAGAACACGCATGGAAATGAAATGAAGGGAGAAAGGATAAGACACTAGTATTTTTATAGCCTTTGCTCTGAAAGATTGACATGCTCTAAAATCCCCCTCAATGGCCTTCTTCTTAGCCAGGACCTAAATAAAATATCCACGTGGACATTCCAGGATGGGGAGAGTCAGCTCTCAAATCCTTTCTTTTCCTCTTCACAGACACTGCACCCCTCATTCGCCCTAGCCATTTAAAAACATACCTAGTTCCATCTATGTTAGTATTACTATCTATGTTACCATTACTGTCTGGGCATGTTCCAATGACCATTTATTTTTATGTCTTCTCATTAACTGAATATTGAAAAGGTGATGTCACTTGCACTTACTCTTTCGCGTGCTCGCTGTATCTTTTCTCTGTCGTGACTGAGGTTTTCCAACATCTCTTGGCCAATTTGCTCTATGGAAAAGAAGATATGAGTAAGGAAAGACAACTAACTTGGGATGCATGTGAGAATAATCCTTACAAGTACCAAAATGACAATGGGAGTAGAATTTAGGTTAAAGTAGTATGCTTTATACACCAATGCATATTTTAACTCATATATATGAAAAATATTAAACAGTATTTGATAAACTTGCCTACATGTCTTGAGTATGATTAAAAGCACTTTATAATTCAGCCTATAGAATATAACCAACACAGCAGTAATGATACAGCGTTGATATGACTTGCCTAAGGTCACTCCAGCAAATTACCTGCAAAGATGGAGGAGAGCCCAGGTATAATGTTTTGTTATTGTGTCATCATGAAATTTGTCCTTTGGTCTTTACAGATTAAGAGTAATGTTAATAACTGTTCTACCTTCCTCCCTTTATTATGGTACTGTCTTGCCTATGTAAGTCAATGTTCATTTGAAATGATTTTGATTTGATTTGATTAAAAATGTTTTTGGCAGTACTGGGGTTTGTATTCAGGGTTTTGAGCTTGCTAGGCAGGTACTCTACAATGTAGCCATGCCCCTAGGCTTTTTTGCTTTAAGCATTTTTCATATGGGGGGGGGCTCAAGTTTTTTGCCTGGGGTTGGCCTCTAACTGCAATCCTCCTATGTGATCCTAACTATGCCTCCTGAGTAGCTGGGATTACAGGTGTGAACCACCACATCTGGCCACAATTTTGATTTTAATGTGCTTACCCTACATAGGTAATCCTCATATTATCACTTGCTACAGCATACTAGTAGTGGATCTATCTCTAGGCTTCCATTCTTCTAGAAGCAAGGGCTTATTTAATGTGTTGTCAGTGCTATAGATTCTTGAGTCAAATCAAGATGAGGAGCACTCCTTAACAAGTAGTTGAGAGTTTGAGCTGAAGGCAGTATTTCACTCCCTAACTTCAAAACCCTTATGCTAGTATAAGCAGCACAGCACATTCATTAAAAAGCCACATGGCTGACACTAATGAATACTTTGCTGGCCAAGATTATCTGACTTGGCTGGCACAGGGCAGTCTCACCTCTGACTACAGACCTTTTACAAGACAGCAGGTATGTTCTGATCTTGCAAATATCCAGTTGGCTTAGATAAATGTTTTTCAGAGTCATTCTCCCATTTCCTGGGAGGAGCCTAATTCTATAAAAGAATGTCAATCTAACTTACGACTGGGCAACCTAACTACCTTATTCTCCATCTCTGTCACAGTCTCTCCTTTTTTCTCTCTTGCACTGTCTCTTTAAACTAATTTTTTAAGGACAGGGTCTCACTATGCAGACCCTGCATAGTTTGAGGCTGCCTCAAACTTGTGATCCTACTGCCTTGGCTTCCTTAGTACTGTGATTGTAAGTCTGTGCCATCATGCCCAGCTATGTCCACACCTGTGACAATGATCATGTCTGGCTTTACACATAACCATTCAACAAGTATTCAACCAAGTCTAACAAAGGCAAGTAATTTAATCAAGCCATTAAGGGATCACCACAGTGGTTAATGTATTTACATTTCAGAGCAGTGACTGTGATTGGGTCAACACATAGCCACAGAACTCTGGCTGTGATCTCACACGGCTTGAGCCTAAACCCCAGGGCTGACACTTATTAACTGCAAGGGTTCACATAAATCAGTTAACTTTTCTATCTCAGTTTCTTAATCTCTATAATGGATAATAATAATAATAGTAGTATATTATAGGGTTGTTATAAGGATTTCATAAGATAATTCAGTGAAAATGTTTAGCAGTGACTGGTCCCTAACAACAACAATAAGCATTATACTGAATGGTGATGATAAATATAAACAAATCAATGGACTATTATGACTTTGAAACCTGCTCCTATACTACTTCTGTCAGAATCCACTTTTTTTTTTTTCATTTTTCTTTTATTATTCATATGTGCATACAAGGCTTGGTTCATTTCTCTCCCCTGCCCCCACCCCCTCCCTTACCACCCACTCAACCCCCTCCCGCTCCCCCCCTCAATACCCAGCAGAAACTATTTTGCCCTTATCTCTAATTTTGTTGTAGAGAGAGTATAAGCAATAATAGGAAGGAACAAGGGGTTTTGCTGGTTGAGATAAGGATAGCTATACAGGGCATTGACTCACATTGATTTCCTGTGCGTGGGTGTTACCTTCTAGGTTAATTCTTTTTGATCTAACCTTTTCTCTAGTACCTGTTCCCCTTTTCCTATTGGCCTCAGTTGCTTTAAGGTATCTGCTTTAGTTTCTCTGCGTTAAGGGCAACAAATGCTAGCTAGTTTTTTAGGTGTCTTACCTATCCTCACCCCTCCCTTGTGTGCTCTCGCTTTTATCATGTGCTCATAGTCCAATCCCCTTGTTGTGTTTGCCCTTGATCTAATGTCCACATATGAGGGAGAACATACGATTTTTGGTCTTTTGGCCAGGCTAACCTCACTCAGAATGATGTTCTCCAATTCCATCCATTTACCAGCGAATGATAACATTTCGTTCTTCTTCATGGCTGCATAAAATTCCATTGTGTATAGATACCACATTTTCTTAATCCATTCGTCAGTGGTGGGCATCTTGGCTGTTTCCATAACTTGGCTATTGTGAATAGTGCCGCAATAAACATGGATGTGCAGGTGCCTCTGGAGTAACAGTCTTTTGGGTATATCCCCAAGAGTGGTATTGCTGGATCAAATGGTAGATCGATGTCCAGCTTTTTAAGTAGCCTCCAAATTTTTTTCCAGAGTGGTTGTACTAGTCTACATTCCCACCAACAGTGTAAGAGGGTTCCTTTTTCCCCGCATCCTCGCCAACACCTGTTGTTGGTGGTGTTGCTGATGATGGCTATTCTAACAGGGGTGAGGTGGAATCTTAGTGTGGTTTTAATTTGCATTTCCTTTATTGCTAGAGATGGTGAGCATTTTTTCATGTGTTTTCTGGCCATTTGAATTTCTTCTTTTGAGAAAGTTCTGTTTAGTTCACCTGCCCATTTCTTTATTGGTTCATTAGTTTTGGGAGAATTTAGTTTTTTAAGTTCCCTGTATATTCTGGTTATCAGTCCTTTGTCTGATGTATAATTGGCAAATATTTTCTCCCACTCTGTGGGTGTTCTCTTCAGTTTAGAGACCATTTCTTTTGATGAACAGAAGCTTTTTAGTTTTATGAGGTCCCATTTATCTATGCTATCTCTTAGTTGCTGTGCTGCTGGGGTTTCATTGAGAAAGTTCTTACCTATACCTACTAACTCCAGAGTATTTCCTACTCTTTCTTGTATCAACGTTAGAGTTTGGGGTCTGATATTAAGATCCTTGATCCATTTTGAGTTAATCTTGGTATAGGGTGATATACATGGATCTAGTTTCAGTTTTTTGCAGACTGCTAACCAGTTTTCCCAGCAGTTTTTGTTGAAGAGGCTGCTATTTCTCCATCATATATTTTTAGCTCCTTTGTCAAAGATAAGTTGCTCATAGTTGTGTGGCTTCATATCTGGATCCTCTATTCTGTTCCACTGGTCTTCATGTCTGTTTTTGTGCCAGTACCATGCTGTTTTTATTGTTATTGCTTTGTAATATAGTTTGAAGTCAGGTATTGTGATACCTCCTGCATTGTTCTTTTGACTGAGTATTGCCTTGGCTATTCGTGGCCTCTTGTGTTTCCATATAAATTTAACAGTAGATTTTTCAATCTCTTTAATGAATGTCATTGGAATTTTGATGGGAATTGCATTAAACATGTAGATTACTTTGGGAGTATCGACATTTTTACTATGTTGATTCTACCAATCCATGAGCATGGGAGATTCTCCACTTTCTATAGTCTTCCTCAATCTCTTTCTTCAGAAGTGTATAGTTTTCCTTGTAGAGGTCTTTCACATCTTTTGTTAGGTTTACACCTAGGTATTTGATTTTTTTGAGGCTATTGTAAATGGAATTGTTTTCATACATTCTTTTTCCGTTTGCTCATTGTTAGTGTATAGAAATGCTAATGATTTTTCTATGTTGATTTTATATCCTGCTACCTTGCTATAGCTATTGATGATGTCTAGAAGCTTCTGAGTAGAGTTTTTTGGGTCTTTAAGGTATAGGATCATGTCGTCTGCAAATAGGGATATTTTGACAGTTTCTTTACCTATTTGTATTCCTTTTATTCCTTCTTCTTGCCTAATTGCTCTGGCTAGGAATTCCAGTACTATGTTGAATAGGAGTGGAGATAGTGGGCATCCTTGTCTGGTTCCTGATTTTAGAGGGAATGGTTTTAATTTTTCTCCGTTAAGTATAATGCTGGCTGTAGGTTTGTCATATATAGCTTTTATAATGTTGAGGAACTTTCCTTCTATTTCTAGTTTTCTTAGAGCTTTTATCATGAAATGATGTTGGATCTTATCAAAGGCTTTTTCTGCATCTATTGAGATGATCAAGTGGTTTTTGTCTTTGCTTCTGTTAATGTGGTTTATTACGTTTATTGATTTTCGTATGTTGAACCACCCCTGCATCCCTGGGATGAAGCCTACCTGGTCGTGGTGAATAATCTTTTTGATGTGTTGCTGAATTCGGTTTGCCATTATTTCAGAATCCACTTGAACTGCAATTTTGTCCATAGGATATATTTGTCCTATCTTCCTCACAAAATTACATTAGAATCAAATGATCTAACCCAAGTAAAAATGTAGATGCTATAGGGCACCACACAAATGCATGGCATTATAAGATTTAAAGCATTCAACAAATAATCACTGAGTCCCAGCAGACAAGACCTAGCATTTGCACTCATGGAACTTCCATGCCAGTAGTGAAGATATAGCAGAGACGAATGTTTTAGCAGTGTTTGTATTTCCTGGCAACCTGTATACTGCTTTCACAATAGAAAATCCAACTAATAAAAATGGTTACAAACACTATAATAATATAGTTTTGACACTATACAATCTCTGAAAATTCCTCCCCAGTATAGTACTTTCTCAGCAAAGTACTACTTCTTAGATTTATCTTAGCTCTTTATTAACTTCATATAATTTATCCTTAAGGTAAAATGATATAAGA